GTGGTCAGCAGCACCAAATTCCTGGGGGTGCACATCACAGACAACCTCACCTGATGTGTAAACACCACCTCATTGGTCAAAAGGGCACAGGACCAATTGTACTTCCCACGGAGGATGAGTCCACCTACTCACACCCATTCTCACAACCCTCTACAGAAGCACCATAGAGAGCATTCTTCAGCTGTCTCACTGTGTGGTGTGGAGGCTGCAGTGGCTCAGACTCGAGGAACGTGAGGAGAGTGGTGAGAACAGCAGAGAGGATCATCGGGCTCCTCTTCCCTCCATTAAAAACATTTAATCCCAGCACGGTGTGTCCCAAGCCTGTCTTCATCAGTGACCCCTAACACCCCCACCATGGACTGTTCTCCCTTTTGCCCTCTGGGAAGAGGCTTTGTAGAGTCCGCTGCAGGACGAGCAGATTCTGCAACAGGTTTTTCCCCACTGCAATCACACTGCTAAACTGTGCTGAAGAAAACCCTCCAAATCAAGTTACAGACTCTGCATCACACTAATAACTCTAAACTAAAATAATGGATATTTGCTGCATATATATTTGTCTTGAGATGCTCTTAACTTCAATATCGTTGTGTTTTGCATGTTTTTTTCTCCCACACTGTTTACATTTGATCACAGCTGCGTTTTATAAAATGGAAACTTTCATTTCACTACTAAGCTACTGCTCATTTACTGCCTGAAAGCTGTACAAAACAAAATTTTGTTTTGTACATAAAAAATGAGAATAAAAGTTGTCTAAGTCTAAAGTTTGCCCCAAGCCACCAAGGAGACACAGCCAAAATGTGGAAGATGGTTGCTCTGGTCAGAACCAAATTCAAACTTTTTGGCAACAATACAAGCTCATCATCCTAAACGCACCATCACCACTGTCAAACAACTTTGTGGCAGCACCATGGTTTGGGCCTGCTTTTATTCAGCATGTACAGGTAAGATGGTTAAAATTGATGGGAGGGAAGATGAAGCCAAAAACAGGGCCATTCTGGAAGGAAACCTGCAAAAGACCTGAGACTGGGAAGGAGATTTTTCTTCCAAAAAGATAAAGCAAAACATAAAGCAAAAACAATGGAATGGTTCACAAATAAACATATCCAGCGGTTAAAATGGCCAGGTCAAAGTCCAGACCTATACATTGTCATTTGTTGATGAAAGAACCATTGGCAACAACACTTCCTGCTGGCATGTCGGTATCCAGGGGACATTGTTTATCATTTCTTGCCATTTTTCATAAGAGTGTGCAGTCAGTGAGCTTTATGTGGGCTCATGCTACAATTGAAATAACATCTTCAACAGAAAATGGATAGAAAGTTCAGGAGGGAGGTTCAACATGTTGCTGCTTCAACTCTTCTAATGGTACACATTACACAAAATTACACAAAATATGGCATGTTTGGTCTAGTTTATCTGAATTCCTCAAATTAGTTTTGCCGTTAACTTTTATGTTTATGTGTTTTAAGGGAGAGAAGGAGAGTACGATGAAGGAATGACAGACATGGTCTGGAAATGTACATAACAGGGTTGTGTGTATTAAAAGGAGATTTTGCAGAATGTTGTGTCATGGTGGTTGATGGCGAACTGAAGCATTTACGTCATTTGTTGTACATGTTGCTTGAGTAGTTTTCATTGGCTGTCTTGCTTTTGCTAGACATTTTCTTGACAATTTTTGGATAAAAACAGTTTTCTTTTTATTATCTTTTGTACAATTTCTGTTTTTTATTTTCTCTTTTATTTTGTAACAGTGCAACCACATAATTATTGCTCTTGTGATTTATTTCCCACTGCTTGTCTTTTACCTGCCTTAAATCTGCTGCTTGGCCCTCAGTCTTCAGATCCTCAATCTCCAAAATGGGATAGTCTCTCTTCAATTCAATTCAATACAGTTTAATTATATACTGTTATAATTTACAGAGACAATTCCAACAGATCACAGAGTCAGATTGGTTAAACATTTTCTGTCTAGGGAAAACTAGCAGTTTGCATCGACTCATTGGCTCGAAAGAAATCCCTCACAACAAGCATGCATGTAGCGATAGTGGAGAGGAAAACTCCCTTTTAACAGCAAGGAACCTCCAGCAGAACCACTCTCAGTGTGAGCGGCCATCTGCAGAGGCAGACTGGGGTTCAAGGGGACAGAAGCAGAGATACAGAAAGAAGTAGAGATACAAAAGGCAACTGTCAATGAGGTCCACGGGTGGCTCCATCAGAGAAACAAACAGCCAGGCAGATAAGCTCCGAGCTCCCATGTTAGAAGATGAAAGAGTGCACATACAGTTAGTCACAGTCGGAGAAATAGGACTACACTGGAAAACAGGCCAAGCTCCAATATCTATAAGCAAAGGTTTTGATGGCAGCAGCACAGCTGATATTTCTCTCCAGGATGGTGTCACAGCTAAACAGGAATCTGACATCTGTAGCGTTGTGCTGTCTGATAAAACTGCACTTTTCACAGTGGCCTTTTATCGTGGGCAGTCAAACACATACCTATGCACTAATCATGGTGTCTAATCAGCCTCTTCAAATAGCACACCTGTGATGTGGGATAGATTATCTCAGCAAAGGAGAAGTGCTTTTACAGATTTACACTGGATGTCAACAATATTTGAGGGAAATGGTTATATTGTGTATATGGAAAAAGTTTTAAATCTTTGGGTTCATCTCATAAAAATGGGAACAAAACCAAAAGTGTTTCATTTATATATTTTTTGAGTTTACAAACAAATGTGCTGTATTGCTTATGCTTACAATACAAACATTAACCGATGGGTAACACCCAGAAATAATGGAGAAGGTATTGGTCCTATGGAATTCTGAGTTTTTTTTAACCATCTTTTTTTTTTTACATATTGAAAAAAAAGAAGTCTAACATTAAAACACTCAATTTCTTTTATCACTCTATAGTTAATATGGTGTATGTTTTTATAGAATTAAATGAGCAATGTATAAAGTAGTAGTTTGTTTATTCAGCAGAGGTGTCAGACTAGGTGGTAGGTATGGAATTACGGGTGGCAAAAGTGCCTGTGAATTGTGGTGGTGTGCTTCATCAGGCAGGCATAGATCAGGTTTTATTTATGAAGTTGGAAGTTGGTCATGGGGTCAGAAGTCGAGGGAGGTGGAGAAAGCATTTATAAGGGTGAATGTTCGCGGGATGTAGGGGGTTGGGGTCAACAGGTGGGACACTGCTACTAAGGAGTCACACCTGCCACGTCTGTCAGTCAGCATGCAGCCACAAGTGTGCGGCAAGAATGGTGTATGTGACCATTTTCTTTTAAATGAGATGAGAGTTGAACAGATTAATATTACAAAACCAAGACAAGTACACAGGAGAGATAATGTATACTTTATGATTTCATCTGTTTTATTAAGGTTTTTGACTTGTACATCCTCCTTCTGTCTTTAGATAGACATGCTTTACGCTGTCACTTTAATTAGCCAATTTTTCTTAGTTTCTAGTGTATAAGACTTAACTAAAAACATGTTGAACATTTATGTCACAAATCATCTTAATGTTTATAATGAATTATTAATGGGCAATAAATAAATAGAAAGAGACTTTACTGTTTTCAGTTGATTAATAGCTAGCTGGATGTTAGTTATGCAGTGTCGCTTGCAGTAGACAAGCTGGACATTGTAGTCCTGTGTGTGAACATGCATTTGTTGTGTTCACGGCAGGTGCAGATAAGATGACTGGTTATTTTGACAGTTGCAGTTAACTCAAAACAACACATGCAACATGGCCTCAAAGACCGAACGGCAACATGTGTGTGTACTCCTTGTGCTTGTTTAAAACTGCTGCAGTTTTTATACCCCAACGAGTTCATAAAACATGTTTTATTAATCCTCAGGGAGAAAAGACAATAATTTCTATACAACCTTTTCTAAAATGTTTTTAAACAAGAACGTTTCTTGCTCTTTTTAAGTTTCCTTTTTATGAAAACACAGCAAACACTAATTGATTTTATTAGTGCAACAAAGATGACTATGGATAAAAATAAAATCATTACTTAAAAAACTTGCATAAACAGTATGTTTACCTTCTATCCTATACAGCAAAGATGCATTTTCCAGTTTATACCATCTGTGAGCTACTCCATGACCTTCGTTGAATGAAGGTAGGTAATAAACGATATTGGACAATAATATTTTAAAACTGGAAATGCATTTCAATGATTCTAAATATTGTATATGGGTGTTTCTTTCAAGACTGGGAGAACATATGATGCCTGCCATTGAATACAACAGGGCAAACAGTCTTTTACACTGATAATATTGTACGTTTTCCCAAGAGAAAACCGAAGCAACATGTGATGCTCTCTGTTGTTCAACGGGTTACAATGGTCAGTTTCAGGTCAGGGTTTAAAAACCATCTTCTATTATTAAAGAGTGCTTACAACTCCAGCATCTCCATCATTTATGAATCAGCAATTTTTTATATTTAACACTAGTGTAAAGCAGCTTTGGAAATATATGTACAGGCATTCAGGCGAGAAAAACTAACATTGAACTACAGATGAATATCTATGGAATAAAAATCTAAAGATAATTTTTCTTTAGCATTTTTCTAGTAAACAGGCATTTAATTTTTGTTGAAATCAAGTGATAAACAATACATCATAGTTTTTTCTTGAGCAAATGTATTCAGAAGCCAAATAGTCTGTTAAAACTTTGAATCAAAGTTATGAAAAGGTACTGTGTTATATTAGTGTATTCTATTGCAAGGCATAATTCGAATTTAATTGTAAACTGTAATTTATTAGATGTTGTAGAGAGGTTAAGACCTAAGATGCTGAGACAGATAGGTACTTAATGATCCAAGTGGGATATTCAAGCTATCCAGTAGCACATAATGTAAAAACCAAGCTCTAAAAAGAGTAAAATATAATCAAAACATAACTTTTTCAACTTAAAGTTGAGCCAAAACAGCCCTTTGTTCAGAAAGTACTTTCAATTCTGTACAATTACTCAAACATTTTTCCTGTATTCATAGTCACAGTGTTAATATAGGGGACAAATGGTCTGTATCTCTAGATGGAGCTGGTAGTGTTTTGCTGCCAGAGAGTTAAAGTGTGCATGTATATTAGTGTGCCCTTTGAAGACCACGAAAGACCCAAGGGAGTCTCCAGTTGCAGGCCTGCAGACTGGCTGGCACCCTCAAAGTAGCTTCTTCATCCTGGAAACAGCTGTTGTCTTTGTGACGAAACTTTTGACCAATGAGCATGGGGTGGGGAGGGGTCTTGAGTGTTGTCTTGTGTGTGCTTGTGGGATGCATGGTATATATGTGTGTGTTTGTGTATAAGTTGGTGGAAGAAAGTGTACAGTAAATATTGATGTTGGTAATTCGAGAAAGCACGCCTCATACACAGACCGAAAGCTAGCATAATTATGATCCAGTGTGTTTCTGAGGCCCGGGTTTTCGTGCATGTGCTGCAGTGTGCATAATAATCTCACAGGCAAGTTGGCTACGTGCAGTTAACACCATTCCTTTAGTCCCACTGTGGCAGAGGAAAAGGCTCCCTATAAATTCAACAGCAAGGAAACATAATACTTGATCTGATTACATAGTGGAAGTTGGCTATAAGCCAAAGAAAGTGGAGTCAGGCCTTTCTTAACAGCTCAAGGGACGTGTACAAAAGTCCTGTTCCTTTCTGGACTTATTTAGCTTGACATACAACTCTGATAATAATTTACATATAATGTAAATGGTGCAATAATTATTATTTTTTCCCTTTTACAGGTTGCTCTTGCTTTTTGGTGCACATTAGTCAAAAACGATCAGACTCAACAATGTATGTTGTTGTGTCCAAGATGAGCCAATAAATCCAAACATTTCTTATCAATTGTTGATGCTCAGTTGGTATTGTTAAATGTTTAATCCCTTTACAGCCGGGTTTATCAAAGAACAAAGTGTAAACCTTTACTGATTACCTGTGCAATGCCATGACATTTGATCCTTAGGAAGTGACCTACATCTCTGGTTATGTTTTACACTGGGAACTTATGACCTCCACAGATGGAAAGCATTGATTTTATCAGGGGATAGCTAAGATCTAGGACAACTAAGATCTGCTCAACAACAGACTAAAATACAAAGAAAAATGTATGTAAGGCAGATCTGTTTAGTTTCAATATGGCCTGTGTGCAATTTTGACACATGTTTAATAAAAATTAATAAAAGGCAAAATATTTTAGACCCTTTGTGTCATAAAACCAGGCAAATGGACCCAGAATTTAGGCGAGTCAGACAGTGGGAACTTTCAAAACGTTTGATGACAGAAATTAAAACTGAACACAACAGAAATGTGGGCTGCTGTTGCTAAGCCGAGCGCAGCGGCTTCAGGAGGGGGGGCGGTGCACCGCCCAATCACTGACACTCTGGTTTAACAGTTCAGTCTATCCTCTCAGAAGAAGGCACAATCCAGCTGATGGGCTGCCAAACAAGCTGTGGCGCTGAGCCGGCAAGAGTGTCCTTGAAGCAGCAACCCCAGCGAGCAGGCAGGAATCCCGATCCAGGTCAGGGATACAGATCAGACAGGTACAGTTCTGGAATCCAGGATTTCGTAGTTCGACCAGGGGTTCCGATCCAAGCATGAACGGACAGATCCAGGGACCCAGGAATCCACAGAGCAGGATTCCACAGAGACGGCAGGTTCAGAGTTCCATGAGTCCAGCACTGAGCTCAGACAGACATGCTCAGATGGAGACAGACAGGCTCAGTGGTTGTGGGCCAGAGACAAGACATGGTACCAGGATAATTGCAGAAACTTTAAACTAGGCTCCACCTAGGACTAAAACTGACCTACCTAAAAGCCTGAGGGTTATGCAGAGAATATATTCATATATATACATTGTGGCGCCTCAAGGCAGCGGCCAAGAACAGCTCTTGACACGGAATTTGCCATTCGAAACATTACAACTACTACAAATCAGGCATCGATCCCGCATCTCCGACCGCCAACACCTGCTGGAGCTCCGGTCACAAAATGTTCTAAATACAGACATTCTTGACTGCTAAAAAAAAGCTGCGGAATGCTACGGGAAAATGTAAACAAAACAACAGTGGGCTCACTTACCAGGCCAGGCTGGAGGAAGAGATGTGCGAGACGAAGGAAGCAAGGTTGCAGAGTTAACAGCGAAGCTAAGGAGGAATCCCCACAGACCATCAATCCTGCTCTCCAACATCTCTGACTCGAACTCTCTTTAAAAAAGAACATATGCAACCGCTGCCCCATCATTCTGACGGAGTCTTGGCTGCATCCATAAATACTGGAGAATGCTATTAGCTAATGCTATACCGCACTGATAGGAACAGAGAACTCTGCAGTAAGACTTGAGGTGGTGGGCTATATGTTTACATCAACAACAGCTGGTGTAAAGGACAAAGGAGAACAAAGGAGATCATCTTGGACTTCAGGAAGAACCGTCCTAATTACACTCCACTCCTCATCAACAACTCAGCTGTAGAGGTGGTCAGCAGCACCAAATTCCTGGGGGTGAACATCACAGACAACTTCACCTGGACAGTAAACACCACCTCACTGGTCAAAAGGGCACAGAAGCGCTTGTACTTCCTGTGGAGGATGAGGAGAGCCCACCTGCCTCCACCTATTCTCACAACCTACTACTGAAGCACCATAGAAACTGTTTTGACCAGCTCTCTCATATATATATATATATATATATATATATATATATATATATATATATATATATATATATATATATATATATATATATATATATATATATATATATATATATATATATATATATATATATATATATATATATATGTGTGTGTGTGTGTGTGTATGTGTGTGTATTAGTGGTAGCACGATAATGGCAGACTCTTATAAACCTATAAAGTTGCCAGGGAATTTTTTTTTAAGAACTCCCATCAGAGTGGTTGAAGATGATGGGCTCAAGCTTGTTCCTTAGTTGGCCACAGGTGAGCCATTTTATAAACTACCTGTGAGATTAACTATCATGAGGAGAATACATAACAAGATGAGAAGTTGGTCGAGGCGACATGTTTAGCACTGCCGAGGGACCACTGGACATGTGTTAATAATGACAACTACCTAAGCGTTACTGTACACCTTATCAATGCCAGCTGGGAACTTCACTCCTGCACTTTAGGTAGGCAATGTTATAGAATTTAAAATGTAATCTTACCATGACACCATGAATGATTACCACAACATTATGTCTGCTTCCTGACGATGGCTTTGGTGACCACTTTTTGAACATGTAACTTCTGTGGAATTATGTGATGCATTCTGAAAAAAGGAGATGAGCCCTTGATCTACTGCGCCCCCGTCTTGAGAAATCTGCTCATAGACTTACTTTCACTTATTTAGGTAGCACACACATGTCATCCTTAGCTTACTTTATTCTTACCCTTACTTTATTTTTTTCCTTATCTTATTTTATTTTTATATCTTATTTGTACTTAAATCCATATTTTCCTTCTTCTATAAACGGTTACACAGGATTAATTAAAGTAATTCTGATTCATGAATCCCTTTGGCAGAATTCAAATTAGCCATTTTAGTCTAGATAAATCAAAATTAATTCCAAGTATTACAGTGAGATTAATCTATACTACAAACTACAAAAATAAAACTAGAAAAGGTACTGGTGAGCAGGCAATGTGAAGGTATTGGAAATTTACTACGGTTTTAGTAAAAAGGTAAATTTTTCAACACATCATCTAAAATGACCTTATAAAAAAGTCAAATAAAAAAAATGGTTATGCAGAAAGGTTAGAATTCTCATTCATATGATTAAAAAGTTCTTTACTATTCACCAGTCTACATTAAGTCAATGATTTGAGATGAGTGCTTAATAGGACCTTTTAACATGGTGGAAATCAAATCAAATCAGAGTGTTTTCTTTTACAATCCTGCAGTTTTATAATGCGGGACTGTCCTCTCTTCGAAAAGAGAGATTTGTCCCACTGGAGACAAATACAGTATCTTATCATACACAATCTAATACATAATAACACCGACAATTCTATAGACATTTGTATATGGCATTTACATTTGTCCAGTATGAAGCAAAGCTAAATGCTAATTTGTTCTTGTTTTTTTCTGCCTGCCTTGTCTCTGTTGGATATTCTTTTGATTGATTTCTGATATCTGGACATCAACCAATCATTTGCCTCTCGACCAAGTCTGTTTTCCTCTGCCCATGTCAGGATTGTCAAGCCTCTGCCTGGGATCTGCCTTCTGTCTCTGTTACTCTAAACACTTCTGCCAGGTTAGTGCCTCCTGCTACTGATTCCCCCACCTAGATTTCAGATTCCCCTCTCGTCTTGTCCCCCTTGATACCTCTGTCCTATGGACTGCTTCTCTGTGCATGACTCCTGACTGTGACTCTCACAGTATCCATAGCCCTGTCTGGCACCTTCAAGATTTGGATCAGTCAATCATTGATCCATTAATTCATACAGAGATTACAGGGGTTAATCATCAGAGCCAGCTCAACCTAACGGCTTCTGAAAAGGTCAGTAGCTTTCATTCAGTCTACCTCGGACATCAACCCTGTTCTCATCCTGAAAGTGATTCCAGTTTCAGTCACTTCCTCATCCTGCAAAAAACAAACAAAAAAAAAAAAATGTACAAATGAATACTTCGTTATAAGGTCTTCTCTTTCTGTTCAGGCGTTGTAAAGTGATTAGTATAAGGTTCAACTTTGCAATAAATTAGCCTATTGTTTTCATGTCTGAATAATGCACTTACTAGCTACACAACCCTTATATCAGGTTTGTATGGTAGGCATGGTTTTTCATGTCCTTCAGAAGAGAAGGAAGCAGGGGTTTACAATTTCCTTTTACTCTATTGTTTAAGAGGTTACAGACTAGAGCTTTAATAATGCTCTCATCTTAAATATTTGATTTTCATTACACTTGTGAAACAGGTCTTTTCATCTTTGTTAATAAATATAAAACTAATTTGATAATACAGTGTATGACTCTCACCACAAAGAGGTACCTTACAAGTCGGAGTTCCTTGTAAACACACTTTATAAAAGTTTTTCTAAGGTCATAAAAGTAATATTGAATCCTGCGTGAAGGTTGACTAACAGGTTTACTACATCATCTTGTGTTTCTTTTACTTTTATAATGGATCTGTGGTGATTAAGACTCTCTTGGTTTGATCTAAATTATCTTTAATTTGATGTCTGAGTCAAAACAGTTACTCTAACGTCTAAGCATATTGACCTTAAATCAATGTTAAATTCTTTCAGAAATTTCTGGCTGAGAATAAGAGTATTAAGTTATATAAAGAAAAAAATTTCATGCTGGCAGGTGATATACTGATAAAAATGAGTCAGAGTTTATCTGAATTTACACTCATTAAAATCCCAAAGAATAAGAACGGAAACATTCGGATACTGTGACTGTAGTCTGTCTAAAGATTGTCTGATCATGTGTTGTATTTTTGGTTTTAGCTTTAGGGTGACTATAGACCACAGTGATAAAAATCTGGGGGTTTCGGCGGTGTATATTCTATAAATGAGATCTAACAGGACAAATATAGATACAAGTCCATTATCTGAGGCGATCATTAGTGACTTTCACCAGAGCTGTTTCAGTGCTATACTGACCTCTTAAACCTGATCGAAGAAAAGGTCAGAAAGGTCATTATAGTGTAATTGCTCATACACTTGCTTAGGAACTTTTTACTCAAGAATTATAGATAAGACCACGTCGTTGGAATAGAGAGAACATTTCATAAGTAAAGATTTATTATAGCTACCTTAAAAGCCTGAGGTCCATAGCCCTTGGGCATGGACAGATTAATGAAACAATGGAGGTGGAAATCAGAGGAAATACTTATTTAAATAAAGTAGTTGAAGTTGGATGTAAAATACAAAATGAAGGCCTAATTAAAGATAATGATGTTGCTAACTCTGGATCTAAAATAGTCCAGTGTTTAGTGAGTCTGTTTTGGTGATGAGATCTTCTGGAAGTTTTATACGGAATGTTGAACTGTAATCCACTAAGTACATCCAGACGTAGCTCCATAATGCTGCTGTACACATATCCAAAATATTTTCCTTCTACTATAAAGGTGCACTGAAAGGGAATGCCCCCAGTGGAGCGAGGGAATTACATTTTATTCCAATGTAAAGGCAACTACAGGAGTGAATTATTATGAAATATCAGCTGTGCTGCTTCCATCAACACCCTTGTTTATAGATGTTGGAAATCGGCCTGTTTTCCAGTGTGGTCCTGTTTCTCTGACCGTGACTGAGTGGATGTGCTCTCTTCGTCCTCTGGCATGGGAGCTGGCTCGGAGCTCGTCTGCCTGGCTGTGTGTTTCCTGGACGGGGCCGCCTTTTACAGCTGCTTTTTGTATCTCTGCTTCCGTCTCCTTGAACCCCAGTCGGCCTCGGCAGATGGCCGCTCTCACTGCGCCTGGTTCTGCTGGAGGTTTCTTCCTGTTAAAAGGGAGTTTCTCTTCTCCACTGTCGCTACAAGCATGCTTAGTGTGAGTGATTGTATTTGAGTCAATGAGTCAATGCAATCAACTGGTTTTCCTTAGATAGAAAACTTTGTACCAATTTGACTGTATGATCTGGTTGAACTGTAAAATGCCTTGAGATGACATGTGTTGTGAATTTTGCGCTATATAAATAAACTGAATTGAATCGGTCTTTGACAGTGTGCGTCACTTCCGCAAAAGCGCCATGCATTTAGGGTAGTTAGCGCCATTTCTGTGGTGAAGAGACAGCAGCAACTAACAACAGAAAACTAACAGAGAGTAGAGGTGTTCTAGTTGCTTCCGTTGGAAATAATGGGACACTGGTGCTGCGTCAAAGGATGCAACAGTTATTCTAAACAGAAAACAGCAGATGGGGCCTTACGGTTTTTCGTATTCCCCACTTGGAAAAAAAAAATACGGACCGCAGACAGAGGACTTCACAAAGAGGCGTCGGGCTGCATGGGTCGCTGCTGTAAGAAGGAAAGACATCACGTTTCATAAAATATCTCCTCATGCTCGTGTTTGCTCTCGGCATTTTCAAAAAGGTAAGTCCTTATAAATATACACTAATAGAAATCAACACGCTGAAATGGTTTGCTTATAAAGTTGCAGGAGTTCATGTAAACCTACTGAAACATGCTGTGGAAGAGAAGCGGAAAGTGATGTTTGTTTTGTTTATTTCTTTTTTAGACCGCTAAAATTTAATAAATAATGCATTCTCTGTATATAATCATTTACACAATCTGCAATACAATTTTTTTTTTAATGAATAAATATATGTAAATACACTGTACATATAAAAACACCGTACATACCCACTCGTCAGCCAACTCACTGTATTTATTTATCCTGTGCAATCTACTTAAGTATATTATAATCCTTTGTTCGTCTGTAAGCTTTTCAGTTTATTTATTTACCTCTGGCCTTACTAGTCCGATGTACTTGTGCTGTTTCGGTATAGCAAATTTCCCCACTGTGGGACACATAAGGTTATCTTAATTTATTACACATCTAATCTAATGGGCTCTGTTATTTAGGTGCTTTATATAGTGTTTTGAATAGATGTGTAAAACACTCAACCTTTCATCTACTTTGCAGGTCAACCCGCATATGAGATGATGAAGACTGACCCAGACTGGGCTCCATCCCTGCATCTGGGCCACACTGACATCAGACCAACAGACACAGAACGCTCTTTAAGACGTGGTTATCGGGAACAGCTGAAAAAGAATGCCCTGCAAGCAACTGAAACGGGGCTCCATCGGGCTGATGAAATCCTTGAGCAACAGGATGAAGTAACACATGAGGCGACAGAGAACCCTAACCAGCAACAGACTGACACGCAGAAGGCTGCTGAAAACGTTGGCCGGCCAAACACCAAGGATGACACAGAAGGTGGTCGTCAGGAAGGACAGACAGAATGTAACCTGTGTGTGCTCAGGTGTGCAGAGATGAACCATCTTTTGGAAGAAAACAGAGAGCTGCGGCGTGAACTTGATGAGCTGCGGATCTCTGATTGCTTCTTTGGAGACACTAATGAAAAAGTCCAGTACTATACGGGTCTACCAAACTTGGTGACCTTTATGGCTTTGTTTAATTTTATGCTGCCTCTCATGTCTGCTCAAAATAAAATTCTCAGTCCATTTCAAATGCTTCTGTTAACCTTCATGCGTCTGAGATTGGATCTGCCCTCACAACACCTTGCTTATCTCTTCTGTGTTTCACCAAAGACAGTGTACAGAACATTCAATGAAATGGTGTCATTTTTATATGCAAATCTAAAGCGTGCAATTGTGTGGCCAGATAGAGACACCTTGCACAAAATTATGCCTCATCCGTTTGTGGAGGCCTTTGGACATAGGGTCACAGTGATTAGTGACTGTTTTGAAATTTTCACAGAGAAACCAGCTAATAAATGAATGCCAGATCAAGTACTGTTTCAACTTTCTTCTTCTTTTTTTATTCTTCTTTTCACACAAATAGAATTTTGCTTTTTTTAAAGTTACTTTTGAAAAATAACAGCAAAACAAATATAAGTTTCACCATCACTTCAAATATTAACAATGTTTCTGAAGTTGTAAAAATGTGTGTACAATAAAGAGTGGAGTTTGAAATTTGAAACAAGCGTTGTTATTATCTTTTCAATCAAGCAGAGAATTTATGAAAATGCAATACAAAACCTCAAATACATAAATAATGCAGAACAGTGCAAAGCTTCAAATGTTTTACTTTGTCTTCCTCCCTCGTATATAGCAGATTGCTCTTTAGATTAAATTAGAAGATTTTCATTTTCCCTGGACTTGTTTTCACTGTGGTCTTCCGTAGAGATATGACCTAACAGGTGATATCTGTGAAGAAGACTGCAGATCCCAGTGAAAACAGGCCTGGGTAAAGTAAACAGCAAATACAGTGTGCAACTTATCAATGTGCAAAAATTCGGACAAGTTTTTCCGTTCAGTCTGATGAGCAGCACAAACTACTCTAATAACTGCAGCGATCTGTGCAACTGCCCACAACATCTGCCTTGTCACTGTAATAATAATATATAATATCGTTCCCTAGCAGCTTTAGAAAGTTTGTCTGGGTAGGGTATCCGTTCAGTTTTCTTGTTCTTTTCCATTTAACTGATAATCCTCGCTGCTGGCTTGCAGCGCTCTCCTCTTGTTTTCTGCTGTTTTGTTTTTCTTCCGCTCACCACAAAAATGGCGCTAGGGGCCGTGTCAGTCACGTGGCTGACAAAGCAATGCAAATGGGGCAATCAGATGAAAGTGAAAGAGCAATAAGCAAAGTGGACACTTGATAAGAGTGAGCTGAACTGCAAAAAGAGTAAAGAAATTTCTCTAGAATAAAAATCTGAGCTTTCCACTACTTTCCAGTACTCTGAAATACGTATTACTATGGGTATGTTGGCCTGACAAGGTACTGTATGCTGAGCTGACAGAATGCTTGCTGGTAAATTGCATGCTGTTTTTTTTCCACAATAGCCTGGCACTTTCAGTGATCTTCCAAAGTGAACTGCCCAGCTTCCAAAAAAGTTTAGGCAAGTAGGGAAATCTGTTCGAAAAAATGCACTTCTTACACCCTAAGGGGGTATAAATAAATTTCTGCCTCAGAAAAACACACAAAAGTAAATCACTTATAGCCTCACAGCTATTAGATTCAAGAAGAAACTTTTGGTACCTCTGTAAAGCTAAGATGTCATAGAATGGTTTTCTGGTGTCAGCACCATTGTAGCCTTGACCCTGCCTGAAGTATTAGGGACAAAATACAAAATATTTTGCATTTTTTGAACCTCGCCAAAATTTTCTTTGAAATAAACATTGCAAAACACTACCAAAATATTATTTATAGCACAAAAAAGTAGTACAGACTTTTAAATCTAAATGTTGTGTAAAAATATACCAAATTTGGACTCAATCAGATGAATCATATTTATTTTAGAATGGTATTAGTGAGAAATTTCTTAGGCGGAGAGGCCATTTTGGCACATTTATCCAAAAATGTCACCAAACTGTGCCAAATTTTTTTTTTACATCAATACTGGGGGTTTGTTAAAATTACGAGGTCACGTAGCAGCTGGACCCACCGGTGGGTCCGTAGGGTTCTAGGGGTTAAAAACCCTTTAAAAACTAGATCTGTTATTTTTGCTGGTTGAGCGGTATGGACAAATTGAAAGCTTTAGTCATTCTTTTTAGATACAGATGAAGGTGAGAACTTGGTGAAATTTGTCTTCTAAGTAGTAGTGGTGCCAACTGGCCCTCTCAGCCAGGGGAAGGGGGGCTCTCTAGATCCCAGGCACAACAGAAACAGACAGAGTTGTGTATCTGTGGATGTGTGTGAACTAGAGAACAGTATGGGGTCCTAATGATGAGAGAGAAGGAGGAGCTGTGAAAATTAAATTGTCTAACTGAGCCAAAATCTTCTTTGTGCACCTGTAGACATTTTCTTTTACCTTTATTGATATCCTCATACTAAGAATATATTACATCAGCAAAAAATGATGTATGATGATAAGGAAAAAATATTTTTGGGTAGTTATAGAAGATAGATGTAAGACCGCACAATGATGCACTTTGACTTTTTAGAGTCAGTGATAACCTTTTGTTTTTTTTTGTGTGTGTTGGTGGTGGGGGGGGGTCTACACAGAGTGGAGATATATTACTATGTTTTATTTCAATTTATTTAATTCCAATTGAATCTCCATGTCACTTCAGAAAGAACTTACAAGTGACAAGTCAAATAATAAGTCATTATTAACTAGTAATTGATGTTTGTTCACAATGTTATTGGGTATGTTTTGTACTTGTTCATTGAATTCTGCAAATGATCCACTGTTGCAGATATTAGCTGCTTACAATTGATGTGTCACACCCATCAAGATCCACAGGTGTTTTCCAAATCTAACGTCCTCTAGCGTGGTGAACTGAAAATGCTCCTCACTATCTCCTTGTTTTCCCCCTATAATTATTACAGGAGCAATTTCCATTTGTGTACTTTAATTTAAGCATTTTGGCCCATTTATAAAACTTATAGGCTACAAAATGTGTAGTATGCTATATGTAAGGGTCCTGTTTTAGTAGTAATGAGACATTACACCTGTCAGACAGAACTTTTTATTCACATTAACACATTTACATTTTGCACAATGAAATGTGTGCTAAAGCTTTTAATACAGTATAAATTCTTGTAACTCTTTGTAAAATATTTAACAACCTAGTTTTTAGAGTTTCTAATATTGCAGTATAAATTATATAATAGTTTAAGTATTTCGTGAATAATATTCACAAATGAAAAAAAAACGTAATAACCGCCGATGTCCCTCCAGTTGCCTCTGCATTGGACTTCTAGAGACAAACATGCAGTGTTGGGAAAGTTCTCTTTCTACGTGAACTAGTTCAAAGTTCAGTTCACACATTTTAAAATGAACTAGTTCAGTTCATAGTTCATAATTCAAAACCAAAAAATGAACTAGTTCATAGTTCTTTTTTTTTTTCATATATTGCTCAATTACACCATAGCCTACTGTAGAACCACAGACAGCAATTATTTTATCAGTTGTAACTCTGAAACTGTGCGTCAGATTTCATCTTCATATCCAGTTTTGAATCCTTATCCAACCAGGGTTTACATTAGCATTGAGGGGACAGATTTCCCCCATTGTTGCTTTAATGCTGTGTTGCTGTCCATTCACTTCACACTAGTAGCAGCTGCAGCTTTCACCCCTACAGTATATTCTCAAAAACATCAGGAAAAATGTGCTGCTTGAATGGTCTTTTTTATGAGTAATTATTAAAAGAAAAATAGGAAAGTAGTCTTTAAGGTGCAAATGTTTTTTTTTTTTTTTTTTTATAATTTTTTCCATTTGAAATTCCATTTCAATACATACTAAAAAGGAATACTGGAATCCTGGAAAATTATACCAGGCAGGTTTAACAAACAAGTTACATGGATAGTAAAACCCTCAAGAACAGGGGTCTTCTATGTTTTCCAGACCAAGGACCCCCAAACTGATGCCGAGATGGAGCGGGGACCCCCTAACTATATATATTGTATGAAATTGTGTCCTATAGTCACTCTATTACAGATGGAGTAATGTAAAGAAATTAATTTCTCCCTGGGATTATTAAAGTTTTTCTGATTCTGATTCCTGGTTGTTGTGAAGGAAACGGTGCCCAGCTTGAAAGAGCTCCTGTGTGTCGCTGAATGTGTGCATTGATGACTGAAAGACATCTTTTGTCTCCATTTATCTGTTTACTACACTGTGTTGATTTCATGTTAATGAGTATTTAAAGACATTTCAATTAGTGGGGGAAAAAATTGCAGGGGGGGAATATAAAAATATCAACTAACCATGCAGACCCTCATGCAGTACCTCCGTAGACCCCCTAGGGGTCGCGGATCCCCTGTTGAAGACCTCCGCTCAAGAAGATTTTACTAACACAAACTGAGGGACCAGGCTGAGGTAGGAATTTAAGGTTACTGAAGTGCGGATTTTTTTACTGAAAGCCGGCGGGCAAACTTGTTGCCATCATCCTCACCGACCACCTGGTCATAAAACTGTTTTAAGTGATCATACTGCTGCTTTGTCGCCTCCACGGTCGCCTCCATGCTGCTGTGGCTTCCACGCTGCATTTTGTTTTGATGACGCACGCGGCTGTAGGCTACGACGCTGGTAGCTGGTGTTGCCAGATCGGGTGTTTTTCCCGCTACATATTAAGGCCTGTTTACGGTTTGATTTAGCTGGGGTTTCGCCTGGAGGACTCTGTAGAAATCTGGCAACCTATTGAACGGAGCTGAACTGAGAGAGCGTGCCCTTCACAGACACCAGAATGAACGAGTTCACAATAACGTTCATCAGGCAATAATGCAGTACGTTCAGTTCACGTTCGCCCAAAATATGAACGAGTTCATTAACTTTCGTTCAATGAACGCGTTCAGGCACAACACTGCAAACATGTGACAGGTGGAGGGAGCAGCACCATCTTTGATTTGGCTGACAACAAACTCATAGAAGCAGGAGCGTCAATGACAGACGACGGCAGGATGTCCATGTGACTGTGGGCAGAAGAGAAAGATGCTGAGCTTGTTCCTGAACTCAACCGTTTGAAGAATGTATTCAGTTCATTGGCTCTGTCCTGAACTCCATCTGTCTGATGATCCTTCTGCTTAAAGCCTTTAATGGTCTTCCTCCCTGACCACACATCTCTGATAATGTTCTGCTAGGGCTAGCTTTCCAGCCTCTTCCTGTATGCCTCTTTGAGTTCTCTTAAATTGATCTGAAGTTGCTTCTGTATTCTCCTCATTAATTCCTTCTCTCCATTGTTCTTTTCTTGTTGCTGTTGCTTCAGATCACTTGTGATCCATGGTTTATTACCTCCAACATAGACACCATCGTCTTTCCCTGGCTCCTCCAATCTGCCTGTCTGGAATGCTTCTCTGATCCCCACTGTTCTAGTTTAATCTCCAGAAGTAAGCCTAGAGGCTAGCCTCGGTCATCCATAGCCCCGTTCTGTCTCCCTGGCGTGCTTCTCCAAATTTCCGCTGACCCCCCATAGCCTCTCCCCTGCCCTCATCGCTCTGTTACCAAGGTAGACTTGGCCGATGTTTCGTCATGTTCCTTCGATCCTCTGCAGTTAGACTCTATAGGTAGCATTGGTCAGCTGTAGCATCTACCTTCCCTGGTGCTGTCTCCCCTGCAGATTCATTTTTCAATATATGGTTTTCTTGGTATTAATAAACCATTATGACTCAAACTACTTGTAACATCTCAACCTATTCTCATTATGAGGGCGTATGAAATCGTACGAAAAGTTATGCACCGTAATTTCGTACATTTTGGACGTGTTTTTCGTCGTATGCGCATGCGCATCTGACGCACCATTCACGAATATAGAATATAAATTACAATTAGCCCTAACCCTGACCCTAACCCTAAGATATAAAACAGCAAGCAACGTAGTTAGAGACATGAATAAATGATGATTGCCCTGTTTTTCCCAGTTTTACGTCCGACCGCAGATCTGCTTTTTTTTTCTGTTTGCCAGCGCATGCGCACTGATGTGGTTTTTTGAGGAAAAACGTCCAAAACGTACGAAATAGTGTGCATAACTTCTCGTACGATTTCATACGAACTCATAATGAGAATATGTTGAACATCTACTGAGAGTACTGTCTGAATGTCTACATCTGTGGTTGCTAAGCTAATGTTTATCCCTCCTAAGATGGCAGTGATCACTGTTAGGCTCACACTTGGATGTATGGTGACAGAGTAACAGTATGTATACTTCTTAATTCCCTTTCTCACTTCTAAAAGGCTTGTTTTTTTCTTGTTGATCAGATCCATGGTTTATTATTAGGGAAGCATTTCAGTGTTCTGCTAGGGATGGTGTTATACACAGAGGTTTATGAAGTAAGTCTTACACTCAGTCGTTGCAATGATGTCCTCTCCATGTGGCTGACACTCTGTCAGCCACATGGAGAGGTTCTGTAGCCTAAAAACAACCTTGCAGAGCTTTTTCAGCTTCCTCTTACCATCTTCTGGCAATTCCTTTTGGGGATGCAGATTGCCTCTTATAAAGTGTTTCATACTCTGAGCAGAGAAAAACAGGTTTGTGATCCAATTTCTCAAGAGGAGATCTTACTTCAGCTATGTTGGAGTCTTAGACATTTGCATAAAACAAGTCCAAAGTTTTGTTTTCTCTGGTACAACAGCTGGGAAACATTTAACACCAGAAGCAAAAAAAAAAAAAAAAATCAAAAAGAACCAACTGTGTGTTTCACAAATGGAGGTTGCACCGTAAGTAGCACAATTCCAGAATATTTAATATGTAATGCAGATTGACCATCCTAATGTACACACAACGTCAGGGTTTCCTATTTTTAGTGTCTTGCTACACAAACTTTGGAAACATCTTTTTTATTTACTAGTAAGAACACAAGAATTTTTGTCGAATTGACAAATACTTTTTGTTTTCTTTTTGTGTCCTTGTGGATCTTTAATTATTCAATTTTTTTATATTAAAAAATAAAATGTTTCTGGTTCTATTGTGTTTTTGTTGGAATACTTTTATATAAAAAAAAACAATCTATGCCTAAAAAGCAAATCCTTAATTATTGTTTATTAGATTAGATTAGATTAGATTCAACTTTATTGTCATTACACAGGTACAGGTACAAGGCAACGACATACAGTTTAGGTCTAACCAGAAGTGCAATAGCAGCAAGTGAAGGATAAATAATGTTTCCATAAATACAGGACACGGGTTTCTACTGAATGAGTATAGAGATGAATACATTATAAAAAAATGAATATAATATATAGATCACTAGTGTTATGAACTAAATTTACAGCTGGATATGTACCGAATACCGTATATCCATATTTATGCACTACAAAAACAATGTAGAAATAAGTAAAAATCTTAAATTAATTGTATTTACCATTAATTCAATTAGGTAAATAAGATTATTTTTCCAATTGAATTAGCATTTTTACTCAAAGTAAGATAATTAGATAATATGAACTTGAAATAAGACAATACGGTTGTTTTCTGTTATTTCAATTGTAAATTGTCTTGTTCCATAAGCGAAGTGTCTCACCATCGTCCACAATTCAAGAACAAATTCACTTATTTAAATCAAAATTGCTTATTTAGTTTTCAATTTTTTGCATTGTGGACTTAAGTATTGAAATCATTTATTTCCTCCCCGCAGTTGCCTGCTATTATATGCATGCCGTAATTGAAAATAAACAATATTGACAAAAGCTTCTTGCTGCAACAAGTCTACATATTTAGAATAATTAAATTTAACTGATTACGTTGGAAGATTAGGGATGGCTCTTTATCTGAAATTATTTTTATCGAATACTCTAACTTATAGAATTTTCTTTGGAGGCCTTAACACTTAGCCTGTCAAATAGGCACATGACGTGTTAAACTGACAAATGATCTGCCATTTGTACAAATACAGATTGTAACAAAATGTGGGGACCACCAGGACAGAGGAGACATGACTCCCCCTGAGCCACAGTAGCTTACAACACAGGTGGGTCCAGCTTTTAAATCCTTTAGTCCTGGAACTGTATTGAAGTTTTTTTCAGCTGCCGACTCTGTCAGCATCTAGAGAGTTTCCTGTTATCCAAGGATTCCACTATGTTGCATGTAACCAAAAATCTATCTGTTGTGTGTTTGAGCCTTTGGGAACTCACAGGTAGAGAAAAACATCTTTGCAAAAAAAGAAAAAAGAAAAGAAAAGAAAAAAATCCAAGCCTCATGGAAATGTACCTCTCTTCTTTCAAAGCAGTTTTATTAAATTTTTATCAGACCTAAAGAGGATTTATCCCACCTTTCACACCTTTATAACAGTTGTTATTTCACTCCTATCAAGACCCTTAATATGTTTAGATATTAAACTGAATAAACTATGTTAAACTAATGGATGCATTATAATATTGTATATAAATATTTTAAATTACTTAAAAGAAATCCAAACCGTTTTTGCTTTAATGCATGATTATGAAGATTTTTGACTTTCAACTTTAAATACAAAAAACAAACTGTCTCCTCTGTCCAGTTATTGTAAGATATTATATTCCTTCACTCTGTCAAATCATCTCTTTCAGTCAGTGGTTAGGATTAGTAGAAAAAAATAACTTAATTTCTTCAAAGCAGAAATACATACTTCTCGGTTTAATCTCCCTGAAAATTTGTGTGTAAGAATGTTGTACTGGTGAGGATGGAAAGGGGCAGCTATATTAAATTCACATTATGAAGCCTGGATTGTAAACAGAGTGATGCTGCTAAATACATCATGATGTTTAAGATGTTAAAAACAGTCATTCTGACCAAACCCTAGTGTGTATCATTGTTTCTCAGTTGAAAGATGTTTTTTGCTCTATTTAATGTGTGAAAAGCAGCAGGAGGAACATTGACACCGTATGATTCAGACAGGGAAGGTCCTACGGCCTGCAGGTTAAAGGGTGACAGACCACACAGAGAGCAAGAGTACTTTATAACCACACAAGATCACCCATATATATCCCCCACCCCCTTCCAAAAGACACACATACAAACACACACATACACACTCACACACCATGCACAGCCAAAGAAAGAGAGAAATTTTACAAAGCAGTCCACAAACAAAGTTCACAAACCTAAGATGTTAACCTAACCTCATTTGTGTGTGAAGAATTCCTGTGATCTGGTCATAATATTATCAACTGTTGCAGGATGCCCAGCACAGTGTTTACAGCTGCTTCATGTGTTCCGCCCCACACACAAACATGCAAACATGATCTTTGAAGAGCCGTAGATGTCAGCATAGAGAGCCTGTATTTCCTTAATTTGGAATTATTCTGTGGTCTGGTATTAGTAACGCAGATAATTTTACTTGCCATATTAAAATGTAAGAAATGTCTTTCCACTGCTGCTATTTGCTTGCTAAAGAAAACATGCACTTGATTACACAGCATAACTGCAATAGTTTAATTGTGATGAATATCAATGAGTTTCATTTTCTATATAAGACTGGACTGGAATTGAACTAAACTATATAAGACCCATCCATCCATTTTCTAACACGCTTGCTCCCAAGTGGGGTCACGAGGGGTGCTGGTGCCTATCTCCAGCTGTCAATGGGCGAGAGCTGAGGTACTCCCTGGACAGGTCGCAAGTCCATTACAGGGCACTATATAAGAGAAGACAAGTCAATAAGTTCTATAAAAGGAGCTATGCGAATTTTATTGCAGAGGTGAGAAACGAAAAAATAAACAAATAAAAAAAGTTTTTGTATAATAGCTTAGTGTTCCAAAATCCACACGTTGCAGCTTTATAACTAGAGACCTAGGAGACACACACATAAATGTTACATCAAGGAGGAGCCAAAGACAAGGTCAGATGGGAAAAGATCAACTGAACTAAGAGTTAAAATCAAGTCGAGCCTGTAAACCCCAAAACCAGATGGCTTCCAGAGGATCTCCTAAAGTATAAAAATAAAGAACTAAGTATGATCTCTATTGTGTTCATCACAGAAACATATGAGCTAGTGCAGGT